CCCCACACACTGACGAATTCTTAAAAAAACCTTGATTAAGATTGTTTATATGCCAAAACATAGAATGGGGCATTAAGAACGTGGAACTAATTTTTAGGTTTCGATCAGCTTGTAAAATGTTAATCAAATGAAATTACCAGATTGGAAGAACGAAGGAGAGATCATTGTATTAACTTGGTTAGTGATTTATCAGAAGAAGAGCACAAACTTCACCACTCCCACCAAGGAAGTGTCAGATAATAACAAGAAATACCAGATCTAACAAAGATCTTTTTTATAATTTTAATAGTAGAACAAATAGATTTAAATTCAGTCCAATACCGTATGCTGTAGACACTTTCAACTCTAGTAACAATGGATGATGTTTTATATAGTAACTAATCTTTGTAAATTGCATAGTAATTTAGCTTTGTGTTATTGTATGCGATATTTTAAACCAGTTTAATAATAATAATAAAAAAAGTTAAATAATTATTATTACCAGAAATTTCTGAACAATCGAACATGACAAACAGTCGAACGTGTTTACTTTCTTAAATGTTTATTGCTGCCGCAGCGAGCGAGCCTGAAGCGAGCGAGCAAGGCAGCAGATCCTAATTTTGTTTTGTGGGTCGAAATCAAAATTTTCTATTTGGCGCATTGCATGACGGTACCAGTGAATTTTAACCGTGGTGCAGCGCGGTCAGGCATAAGGCAAACAGGCAATGTGATCATCTTTCATCTTTGGTCTTCTTTTATGGAAAGCCATAGCTGGCTTAAAGTGATCAAACGGCATTTTGTTGGGTGCTTTTAGCATTATACGGCGGTGCTTTCGGCATTATACGCGGTGCTTTCGCCATTATACGCAGTGGTTCCAGCATTATACGCGGTGGTTCCAGCATTATACGCGGTGCTTTCGCCATTACACGCGGTACTTTCGCCATTTATATACGCGGTGCTTTTGCAATTAGCCTATACGCAGTGGTCGAGCATTATACGCGGTCTTTTAATATTATACGCGATCACCGATGCTTTCATTCAACATTATTTCCATATCCTTTCCATGACATGTATATGATTTAACGATTGCTTAAATTTGGTATGTGGTTGACAAATGCGTTTTGCTGCCCTCTGCTCTGCAATGACAATGACATGCTTTAAAAAGGTTTATTTATGCACTTCGTGATAGTAATAAATCTGTGTATATATAAATGAATATGACGCAGCGAATGCGCCAAGCAGTATAAACGCGGCTGAAATACGATATTAAAATCTTGAATGTGCCGTATGATTTAATTATGTTTTAGGATTTACAAATGCTTTGTCATTTGTATTTATACTTGTACTGCATCACAAGGCAGTACGTACAGGTATAAGTGAACAAATTCCACATGTGAGATTATCTTGTATATATTTTTGCTTTCTTTGATAAACATTATTATTAAACACGCAAATTTTAATTAGTGAGATGCACAGTCGCACATGTTAAATGTCACCTGCATGTCATTGTCATTGCCCTTTAACGTAGACCAGGGGTTAAACTTTAACCCCTGGTCAAATTCATGGCCATGTTTGAAAATGTTGATGTATAAATTATGGATTATTCCAATTCATTACAAATATTTGCTATACCGAGGCAGCATTCACTACCCTGTGGGTAAACTAGTTTAATATATGTAATGTACATAATATACTTGTTCTGAAAATGTTATTTTTTCGTTCGTTTAAAAAATTGACAGGTTTGCTTGAAATATATGACGTATGATTGTTCTTCTTTCTTGTTTTTTATATTAAAATGAAGGCAAATAGAATGCCGTTCACTTGCCGCCAATTTAAAATATTTACCGCGCCTGTAAGGGGACTGAAACTGACGCACAAGAATGCCTTTTTGGTTACGTAATTCGCCAAAGTAAGCCTTCCATCATCTACTTAAGTGCTTCAACCTTGTTCTCAGACCCTTTTCTCCACGCTCCTACCTCAGGAAAGAACCTGGATACGAGGTTGCTAGGAGCAGATGGTGGTTAACAAGCAATGATGAAGCAATGATCGTAACATGCAGTAGTCTTATATTTTGGGGGCAAATCATCTGTGTTTTTCCATTTGAAATAAAATTGAGATATATATATATATATATAAATGTCCACAATCTGCTGCTGAGTATACAGCTATTTCAATTAAGGTTGCCCCCCGAGCAAAGCGGAAAAGTCGAATACGAGCGCGAAAGGCTGCTGGGAATCGCTAATAAATTCATTCATTTATTAGGGATTCCCAGCAGCCGTTCGCGCTCGTATTCGACTTTTCCGCTTTGTTCGGGGGACAACCTTAATTGAAATAGCTATATGAAATAAAGCAAATGTTTTTCTTCCAGGAGCATCACAAGCACGCTATATCAAAGGACACGTGGAATCTACTTCTAGATTTTAGTAATATGATAACTGATGATATGGATAATTACGATGAAGAAGGTGGGTTTGAAAGGATTTGCACAAAGTTCGTGTTAGGAGCATTTAATATGTTCAGTGTAGACCGCGTTGAACAATATTTCACTACGAGTACCTGCCAGGGTTCGCATATCTCTGACAGTCTATGAATTGGAATGCATATGTTTCAGGTCTTTGAAAAGTCTGGAATTGTATCAAACAGCAAAGAAAGTCTTAGAAAGTATTTGATTCGTGTGATTCCCTAACTAATGAAATGGAACGATAACGGGCAACATTTTCACTGCAGATATCGAAGAGAAGGCGTATTTTAGGATTATTATTCAGCTCACCACCCATCGGGTCTTTTCAATAACAGATTACATCAAGTATTAGGCTTACTTATATTACTTGGTTAGTCTCATATTTGTGATTACTTTCCTAATTGTGCGTATACTACCCCACATTGTCAACTTTCCCCGTGGGTGGAAACTAGAGCGTACGGGATCTTTAATTAAGCCCAGGTCTTCATCATAACGCAATGATCATAATGATCTAACGAAGATCTTGGATTACAGATTGAACGTTTTACGAAATAAAATAACCGTTATATTTTCAACGAAGCAAAACAAGGTAGGGCGGAACAGCAGGACAGAACAGAGCAGGACAGAACAGAGCAGAACAAGGCAGAAAGCAGGACAGGACACTAGGACAGAACAGGACAGAGCAGGATAGAGCTGAGCTGAGCAGAACAAGACAGGACAGCAAAGCGGGACAACAGAACAGAACAGAACAGAACAGAACAGAACAGAACAGAACAGAACAGAACATTCAAATTAAAATAGCAATTATGTATATTTTCTATTCAGGTGCATGGCCTGTCTTGATAGACGAATTCGTGGAGTTTGCAAAACCACTTGTTCAAGGAAGACAAACGTCGGTCTAACATATGTTTTGTGATCACATCATTCATACCACCAAACTACTGTATGTTGAACACGAATGATACCTGCAGACATTACACACAACTTTTCACTGTTTTCAACACTTTGTAAAAAGAAACTGTATTTTATAAATCAATTTTCCTATATACTTCATGTAAAAATTCATTAGTGTTGGAAGTTCAGAGAAATATTTTAAACAGAACGTTGGCTGGTTGTGTGTACCAATTGCCGTACTATAAATGAAATCAACATTGAAGAAAATCTATATTTGCACAAATTATGCTAGCTATTACAAGGATTCAGGATGTTGTGCTATCTAGTCTAACTTCCCATTTGAAGAAACTTTAAACTCTAACAGAAATCAGCGACAATGTAAAAATCAGTAAATTTTTCCATTAAAATTTTGTTATCTCCCGGTTTCTCGCAGCTTTATTCAGTATTCTCTCTAAATCAGTGTGGATTATAACGATTTCGCTTTGGTCGGACAAATGTCCGATCAACTGGTCAGTTGGTCGGACATTTGCCAAGAATGGTCGGCCAACTTTCTTAATATTTTTTACACGATACTGCATGAGATAACTTTAGAAACATTTATATCTATGAAAGTTAATACCTATCGGTGACGGTATAGGCCTTAAAGCCTAGATCGTCTATACGAGCAAATTTTCTTTTCCAAGTTTTACTTTAACAAGTTTTATTTGCCGGTGTGTGATGGAGAAATATGGCAACAAATAAACTTGTCAAAGAAAAACGTACTTGCAACATTTCTCCATACACACAGGCAAATAAAACTTGTCACAGCTTGACAGCTAACCTTAGCAAAGAAAATTTGCTTGTGTACAGTAAAAGAGGCCTAAGTGTATGCATAAGTAAAATGGTCAATCTTAACTCTTTATCAGTAGGAGATAGAACATAACGGCTGGAATATAAACGTCTTTGTGTAAAGTACTGTGCATAAACACAACAGGTTCTACTTTTAAGAATTTAATATTCGATTATATCGTTTGAATTCATTCGTCTGACTCATCACTGTTGCCAAACCAAGTATCCCAGTCACTTAGTGAAAAAGATAGTTCACTTTCCGATTCTTCTTCATCCGTTGTGGGTCTTCGGGAAGCGTACGGCCTCCGAGCACTTTGATTGGGTCTTCGTAATCGAATTTTAGTAATGGAATCTTTGTATATATTTGATCGGTCAAAATGTCCGACCAGTATAAAGTTGATCGGCCATTTGTTGTTTTTGTTCAGCAAATGGCCGATTGCCGACCGTTATAATCCGCTCTTCGTTCTCCACCCACCCATTCTCGTGGTGTGATATGCAATACAAACTATATTTACTTCACAGCATGAATAATATTTTCAACATATAGCCACCTGTTTATCCGGGAATAAAAAATATTCTAAGAGGAATGAGATTAACTACATGCATTTTGTACTGCTTTTTGCTTTATATGATATAGAGCACTCACTACTGTTTATACTAGTGTATTTCATTATGCATCAGTCATGTTTAGATGGTTGCCTAATGGCATGATGAAGAGCATTTCATATAGTTCTGTTTCTAATGGATCTTCTCCAGTACATAGCAAAAAATGTATTTCTGTATTTCTGTAAACGCCATATATAGATAAAAGGATTGGCTCCAAAGTTGAAATGTAGAAGAATATCTACCGCGTGAAACAACACGACAAATACTGTACTTGGCTTATCTATTATCTCCGAGTTACCATCGATATAATATGTAATCACTATTGTTGGAACTAGTGCAGAAATAAGACCAATATTAACAATGAAGACCGTAAAAAGAAACTGGTTCTGTGTCCTCAGGCGAGCTTCAATACTGTGCCGGTATATTTCTGATATAGAATTTTTGTTTCTTGTTGCCAAACGTTGTTTTTGAATGGACATGCAGGAGATGCAGTAAAATATAAGAGTCAACACGGAGAAAAAAGCACAGGGTAACATCAGACTGTACTTTGTTATGTATAATTGATCTTTATACACCAATGTAAATTGTACTCCAGCAAACACACAGCAAAACAACCAAACAATTGTTAACCAGATATAACAAGTACTAGGTGTAATATGGACCTTATGCCACAGTGGATAGATAATGGCCAAACTTCGTTCTAGCGCCAACACAAATATTGAGGGAAATGTTAGAAATGCTGCGAATTCAAATATTGCCCAGTTGATAGTAGAAATTAATGGCGGTAAACCATAAATACTGCCATATTGTGTCCGCGAGAGTATTAATTCCTCTATTGAAAAGAGAAGGTTGAGAAGGTCTGACAGAGACAAGTTGATAATAAAACATGAAGTAGCATCATGGAAACACTTCAATGGATCTTTAAAGAATGCCAGTATCAGAAGAACATTAGCAAGTGTTCCTGTTACTGATATCAACAAGTAAACAACAAAATTCCATGTTGTTATGTCAGCAAAAAATATCCTAATGAAAGTTACGGGCCATTGAGGTTCCAACTGATATGTAGAGTTGCTATCGTTCATCATTGTTTTAGACAATACAATCACAACAAGAAATACCGCACGAAACAGCTTTCTCCATTTGCTGATGGAGTGTTTCCCTTTTGCATTGTAAATTGTATTACTTAATTCTTTAATAATATGCAGTACATCAAACGAATTCTCAATTCTAATTGGCTGAGCTAGAGAAGCGCCATTTTATTGTAATACTATAATAATATACATCGGTGAACAAATTTGTTAGTTTTGATTCGCTAAGAGCTGTGCAATTTTTTTCGAAATGCAGTGCCAAGAAACGCAGTGGTAAAAAATGAAAGACAGTGTCAGTGCAAATTTCATTGACCTCTTTTTTAAATAAACAATCTTTAGTTTAATAAAATATTGTAAATATTTACACATAATCTCCCACAATGGGCTCTTGTAGAAAATGTGTCTAAATATATATGTTTATATAAAAAAATACAACCAATTCGAGCAGAAAATAATACAAAAAACCCAAACATTTACATTTACAAGTGACAAAAATGGCTGGCGTGAGTGGCGTCTTTAGTAAATTTTCTATTAAAATTATTTATATAATTATATTATAAAAATAACTGTTTCACATGTGAGCTACGCACACAGGTGACAGCATAATTTTTTCATGTTTATTGTTATAATAAGTAATAGTATGGTTTCTCGTGCAATTTGGAAAAACATACATTTATTTATTTTTATTTATTTAGCTTTGCCAACATTCGTCAGTTTTTCAAATTGTACTCGTTCAATTTGAAGTCTTTGAAAAACTCACGAGTGTATGTTTTTTCCTAAATTGCACGAGAAACCATACTATTCTTATAAGTAATAGCATGAATTCTTGTAATTAAAAAACACCATGGAAATGAGTAACTGCGCATTTTTGACTTATAATTTAAATGAATGCTCCTTGGGTAGCAAAGCGCAATTAAAATTAATTAAAATTCTCGTTATTAAAAACATGAATTGACGAAGTTCATTTGTATGCATGAAGATTGAGGTTTAATAATTAAAATGAACTGCAGAATAATTGCCATGCATATTGGCATATCAGTCCGAGTAATATATATATATATATATATATATATATATATATATATATATATATATATATATATATATATATATATATATATATATATATATATATATATATATATATATATATATATATATATATATATATATATATATATATTGACATCTTTTTGCAATGAAAGTACGTGCATGCACGATAATTTTCAAATGTATTGGGACAGGTGCACACCAAGCATCTATTTTGAGAAACAATCCCCCGTTCCCTCCTCAATCTTGGGTCACAGTTAGCATCTTGCTTTGGTGTGTGTGG